TGTTTACCCTCTATATAATAGAGTGCTGTTTATTTCCCTGTCGATCTCTCTCTCCTGCACTCGTTCGCACTCATTCACACTCTCTCGCACTCGTTAGCACTTGTACTCATACACACTCAGAACACAGCACTTACACCCTTGAAAGTGATAATGACTGTGTGTCCGCACATACCCTGAATGATGGCCAGAAGGATGACAATAACAAAGAAGAAGAAAGTGATGTCGAATATAATGCGATACACTTCGTACTCATCGCCGTCGGGCGCCTCGATCTCATCGCCGATACCACCGCCAGCCCTCACGCCTTTGTATAAGTGAAACACAAAGCACTGCAAACCCACAGACAGACAATGAATTAATATAATAAATGTATTATATGTGGGAAAACGAGTGGCCAGAGAGTGATAGCACACGTACGGTAAGCATGTTGTGGCACTTCTGGTCGATCTGGTCGTCCTCTTCCTGAACGTAGAACTTGCGGAAGAAGTTGAATGCAATCACAGTATAGATGTAAACCACGATTATCAACAACATTAAGGTCAACACCAACTGATCCGGTAATTACCACAACACAAGAAATACACAATTAATGATTAAATAAAATCAAAGTAACGGTGTTTTTGTGCGGACACAACAACACTCATACCTGTTTGCCGTTATGTGTGACCGACTGGAGTATAGTCTTGAGGGTCGGTATGACTACCGCAATGTCCAACAGATGGGCGGCGAAGAAAAAGTAGCTAAAGTTGCCCATCAATGACAGCATAAAGTATACCAAATTGTATAAAAACACCTAGATGCAATACAAACATAGTTAAAACACCATTAATAAAATTAATAAAGATTTTAAAAAGTAGAACAAAAATAGCCGTACATTATCCATAAAAGTGACGCCAATTTTCCATATCTGGTACTTCCAGTCGCAGGCGGTAATGAAGGACAGGTAGCCGGTGGTGGGCGTCTGTTCATCCATACCGGCCGACCCGGTCTTAGACATGCCCAACAGCGACGACAGGTTATCGTAATCATACTGTTCCGAGTACTTGGCCCGCACGCGCTTCTTCACAAACTTGTCCCAGTAATTCACGGGAAAGCTCCGGGTGCTGATCACCAGTTTGTCCCACTGGGCCCGGTAGTCGTCTTCGGGCTGTTCGCTGATATACAGGCCGTCGAACTCCATGAGTCGCGCCACCTCTTTCTCCCGCTTGAAGATAATTAGTGGTACTTTGAGGTTGTAGTACGCGATTAGCATACAAAACGATAGCAGTGAGTGGAGCAGCGCCAGCCCCCGGAGCACCGGCTCCAAGTAGTACCAGCCCTCCTCCATCTGTAGCCACTCGATCACGTTGTCGTCGCCGTCGTCGTCACCGCCCGGATCTCCTCCTCCGTCGCCACCTGTTGTTCGTACGGCAAAGACATTTCAAAATTAATACATAATATATAACAAGTGCTAAATATTTGCTAAACAATTTGCATCACCTGTTAATAGATCGGCCGCCGCAGTGGTCACCTCCTCTATAATGTCGGCCACGGCATCGACCGCCGCCTCAGCCGAGCCGTCATCGCCGGCATCGGTGGCCTCAGAGTCGCCTCCGTCGCCGTCGGGTGTAAAACTGGTCACTTTGTAGAAGAGAAGCATCAAATTGATAATAAACGCCATAAACAGAGCAATCTTTTTAAATGTGTATAGATTTCTGGCCAACCAATACACAAATCGCTTCGTATAGTTGGCCACATTTGGCATAGAGTTCACCACCGGTGCGTCGGCCGTCGCTTTACCGCTACCACCGGCTCCGCCGTTACCGCCGGCGTCTTCGGCGGGAACCATAGGCGGTGCCGTCGGAGGCTGAGACTCGGCGGCCACCGTCTGATCTTCAGCGCCACCCGTTTCCTGATCGTCAGCGGCGACAACAGTCTCGCCGTCCATAGCCTTAAGATCGCCGTTCGTCCGGTGCTTCCCGTCAGCCATCGGACTGTCGCCGTCGGGCAACTGTCCGTTCGGCTGGTGATCGCCGACGGCATCAGTCGCTACGGAAGCCGCGGCGCTGTCTTCGGCACTCATAATAGCCATACGGGTTGTGTCCGGGAGTGGAGTCTGGGCCGCGGCGGTGGTGGGCGAACCGCCGGCCGGCATAAGCGCCTTATCGGTGCCGCCGGTGTCGTACTCGTACTCGTAGTCGTCGGGTCCGTAACCGTCGCCGCCGGCGATCGGCTCTCCGGTCATGAGTTTGAGTATGAATTTGAAGACACATTTGTTGATGTAATATATGGTATATCCGCCCAAAAACAGCGAACCGAATGTGAGCTTAAAAAAGCCGATAAACAGCTCGAAGTATGTCTTCTCTTTGAGTCGTTGCCACTGTTTGCGCAGATTTGAGGGCTTGAGGTGACCGAAGAGTTTGCACAGTCGTAGCCATACGTATCGGAATAGGTTTCGGATCGGTTCCAGTGCCGACACCGGCGCCTCTTCGCTGCCCGGATAGGGGTAGTCACCTGTTATGGAGACATAGATTATATCAATAATTGTGGGGGCGGTCAGTATAAAGAGAGAGGGCCTATAGGGGGGCTGCGTGTTATATTTATGTCATTTATATTGTGTAAATCTGTATAAATGATCACGATTAAATACTGTACATAGAAATCATCGCAAAACAGCAAACATAAACAAAATTAACAAAAACTTAAAACTGTTAGACAAACACACATCACATACACACACACACAAAAAAACATAATCAAAGTAAAACACAGGATTCAGGTGCACACGACTGGCCAGTGGCCAGGGATGGTGAGTGTGTGGACAACACCGTGTGTGTGGCCATACCTGCTTTGGTGGGCTCCTCGTCGTCCTCCATGGATATACTGCTCGCGTGTTGCATCTCAAAGATGGCGTCTTCGCAGAAGTTGACAAACGCTTCCAACTTCTCCTTATCTCCGCCTTCGGTGACAATCGAATAGAAGAACGCTCTCTTCGACTCTTTGATCTGCGGTTTCTCCCACTGATTAATGGTCTCCTCTTTGATCTCGAAGTACACCCTTTCGATCCGTTTGGACGAACCCATGATCTCTATGCGGCCCAAGAAGTTCTCGAAATAGTTGAGCACCGATGAGGCCGTCTCGAGGAACCGCTGCAGTCGCGGGTCGTTTGTCATGTGTTCCGATAGGTTGGTCAACAGGACGGCCAGATTGAAGCCGATGTCTTTGGCCGGATTGTGGAAGCGTTCGGTGAACTCGCGGTAGTCGATGAGGCCGTCGTGGTTGGGCTCACAGCACGACATCAGGTATTGGATCTCTTCGGGCGCGTAGATCTTCTGCTGTTCCATCGCCTTCTGGAAGTCTTTGGCGGTTACCCAACCGATGTTCTTTTTATCGATCTCCTGTGCATACGGTGTGGTCATCGGTGGTAACGATAAGATAATTATCAATTGTGATAATCAATGAGTGGTTAGAATAGATGGACACTGACCTGAAACGCGGCGGAAGTGATCACTTCTTTGAGTTTGAGAAACATGTCAAAGAACTTGAGAATCATCTGCAAAGACACCACATTTCAAACACATTATCACATAAAACAAAACACACAACAGATATGCGCGCAGAATATTCTTCTGGCATTATTTTTGTGGAAAAAACATAGCCATCACTACCACTGACCTCAACATTGGCGGCGCTCTCCACGAGTGTGTCCACCATTTGCTTACCAATCGTGCCGTTCATAACGTTTCCCTCGAGCATCGACAACATCATGATCACCATCTCCTTCTGGAGGTCCAACAGTTCCAACAGCAGATCCAATTGGGACGAGTTCTTCGAGAGCTTGTCCTGCATGTGTGCGAACAGAAACATGAAGCCCCCGACGGCGTCCCACAGCCGCGAGTGGGCCAACGCCTGCTGATTCATAGAGCACGGACCCTGAATGGACTCGGTCAACGTGCTGAACACCTGGGTCACATTAATAAATACCATGGTCATTATTAATTGTATTTACACATACATGTTAATCAAATAGTCCTAAATCCTAATTTAAATTAATACTTTTAATTTTATGCCAGTGTTCACTGAATTATAACTTAATTAATTAAACATTAACTAATAAATTCATTATTCCTATTTATAAACCAAGAGCATTTAAAAATAAAATTTAGCTGCATTATAACCCTATTTAACAAATGTGTGCTGAATAGTACCTGTTTGGCCACCGTAATGGCCTTGATGAAATTATCTTTGCCGGACTGGTCGATCACCTCTTTGCTGGAATAGTGCCAATAGAAGTCCATAATGGACTCCTGGAGTCGGAGCAGGTAATCAACGGTGGCAATGACCACATTGACCGTGGTCGTATTGCCGGCCTGAGTGCGCAAGTAGTTCTGAAACTCTAAATTGTGGCCCTCGCACAGCAACTGGATGAACCTAAACACGGCGCAAGTGATCTCGGCGTCGTGCATATTCTTCTCGCCGGTGGTGCCCTCAGCGCCGGCACCCAAGCCCTCGGCTTTCTGGTTGCGCTCGAACGCATCCAGGTCGAGCACCGAGAACGAATTCATCAGGCCCGCTATCGAGATGAAAAAGCCCACATCCTTTTTGTCTTTCAAGTGTTTGAGCATGCGCATCTGCACGTCCACATTACCGCCCTTCAATATACTAATGCCGAGCTTCAGGGTTTTGAGCACCATCTGGGTCTGTTCGCCGCGACACGCGCTTATGTACAACAGTATCATCTCGGCTACGCCCCGGTCGGCCAGCCGTTGCTGTTGGAACAGTAGCTTCTGTTTCTCCATCTCCTGCTCGTGTATGGACGGGCCCTCCTCTCCACCGCCTCCGCCGGCACCCTCTTCGCCGCCCCCTTCGCCTCCGTCACCGCCTTCGCCGCCTCCGCCCTCTTCCTCCTCGTCCTCTTCAGCGCCGCCATTGCTTTGGGTGAAAATGAAGGCGTAGTCCATGAAGAGTGAGTCCTCCTTCATAGCGCCTCCGTGTTCAGTGGTGGCCGCCCTCGAGAACGCCGTCACCAATTGGTTGATAGGGTCGGGCCGTCCGTCCGCCTCCTCATCGCCCGTCCGTTTCTTCTCCGCCTCTTCGAACGACTCGGTGTTGTCTTCGATGAGCTGCTCGTGACCCACGTTCTCCACCGATAGCCACATATCCGAGTAGGTCTTCAGGAATATGTTCATCGCCCGGTGCCTGGAGGTAGTGGTCCGATGGGTATCAGTCCGTGTTTAGGGTAAGAATGGGTTGTTTGGTTAGTATTGTGTGATATTTGTTTGCTTTTAATTGGGTTATTGGTAGTATCAGAATTGTTTCAATCGTTATAAACTAGTTATTTCATTTTATTTTGTATATACGGTAGACTATTTTGTACACTATCTGGTAGTTTCTCTGTTGAAACCCTATATATCCGTTATAATGAACTTAACTATAACTGTACACCCGAGTCTACTGTATACACTTTCTTTCACAACGCGAATGCTTCATAACGCGAACGGTTGGGTCATGTGACCCACAACAATAGCCATATCGTCATATCGCATATCGCGTCATGTGACCCAACCGTTCGCGTTATGAAGCATTCGCGTTGTGAAAGAAAGTGTATACCTATCGGAATAACACACGGATTAAAACACTGTTAAAATACAGACCAAAAGTTAATAATAATTTGTTAATCACATTAATAGACACACCAATTGAATACAATTCTGCGTTAATAGTATGAAAAACATGATAAAAACAACGATGGTAAAATAATCATGATTAGAAACCTGCTAAGTGAATACAGTGGTGAACTGAGCAGGCATTTTATGGCCGCCTTTTTCTTACTATAAGATACAAATATTCGCTTCCAAGACGTTTTTGAATGATCTCGTTTGAAAACCTGTATTAGATTTTCAACCATGTGTCGACATTTTAACCATGGTGTTAATTAAACACAACTAATTAATTATTTCATTTTAATTAAAATTGAAAACTAATATTCAAGTGCTTTGTTTGTAAGAGATGTGCACAAATCAAATGCAATTCATTCAAATGCAATTTGGTTTCCAGTAGTGTCTCAAACATGCAAATTCACACCATGTTATGAATACTGTAATACGGGTGCACTGATTGCATACCTGGGCAATGAATGAAGTGATATCATGCGAAAGCATGCGATGACCGCCCGCTTCCTCTGGCTCGAGACACATGACCTCCAGACGCCTTTTTGCTGACCCGACGGGTGATCGATCTGAGGGTACGGTACGGGACAAGACAAACATCAAGTATCAAGGTAATTTATGTGCAAAATTCAAATGGTATAATGTGCATGTGTTCTAATATAGAGTACTGGTATATTTCATTCACTAACTATATGTGCAACCAATTCTAGGACCACTATCTTTAGGGAAAAGTAAACACACACACCATCTATGAGTCAATACCAGTCAATACACGATATCAAGCTTTAGTACAGTTAATGCTATTTCATTACAATAATATTTACTTTAACCTAAAGATAGTGGTCCTAGAATTGGTTGCCTGATAGTAATATGTAAGTAATATTTACAATCACGATTTAAATATTGTAACTTTACAGTATAGTGACCACAAATAGACAACAGAATATTTACATTATAGACATCTATAGTGTACAGAATCTATGTAATCAAAAATGCATTTTTTCTTATGTAAAACATATACTGACATTAAATTAAAACTATCTCAACATAAACTAATAACAGAGACTAACGGATAAATTGGTATTTAAATACACAATCACTTATAGTGAACAGAAAATAAGCTTAAAATCTCATTTGTTTGTACACTAAACACAATACACTACAGGCGTACAGACATTAACACCAGGAATGGTTGTTTAAACGGGGGCCGGGAGGGGGTGCTCACGCAATATATACCGTGTGGAGTCCGAACAGCACTTTCGACATATCAATAATCCTCTCCACGAGCTGATCCGCCGCCAGATGTGGATCCTTAGAGTGTTTAGCTCCGGGCGCGTCCACGAGCGCCAGTTCGCGGCCGGTGACCGCCTTCTTGGAGCCGAGTTTGCTGTACAGATAGTGCTGCCACGACATGTCGTCGCTGGGATCAATCTTGTCGGGCAGTGTCAGCTGTGTCTTCACGTAATCAAATATGTCGGCGTCCGGCCGACGCTTCAGACACTTCTCCTTCGCGTGCTGTACCAACTCCTGCTCCCGACCGCCGAACACGTTGAGGCCCACCGGCAGCAGCCGCTTAAGACACGCCACCATTAGACTGGCCGCCAGCTCTTTGTCTTTGTCTCGTTTGCCCTCACGTTTCTTCTTCACCTGTCGTATCGATCGGTGGATCAATCGGTTGGACACAAAAAGTTAGATCTTGTATTCATCGCATTCAGGCATACGATCTAACAGTCCAACTGTCAAACCAGACAACTAAAACAATACCTTCTTAGCGGACGCCGACTGCGAGCCGTCGGACTTAGTGGTGGAGACCCGACCCCCGCGACCACTGGACGGCATAATGAGCGCCATATTGTCGATCTCGTTCTGGGAGATAAAGTTCTGCTCTTCGCGTCTAAAAAATTGCGATTTCGACCATATGTTGAATATCGAGGCCACGAAATGATACAACTGTTCCGCTTCGGGAGTGTTGTTCTTCAGCCAATGACCTGTGATATAGAGAGTGATAATCACTGTAACGAATGGTAACACCAAAAACACTATCACTAAACGACAGTTGCCATACCCTTCTGGATGTCCACGTATTTGATGAGCAACGGGTAGAAAGCGTAGACATCGCGGGTCAGGAGCGCGAACTCCTCCTGAAGCTGTTGCTCGACAGCCGACGTGTCATCGGTGGCCGATTTCAGGTAACCGCGCATCAGATCCTCGCGATGATAGGCCGCATCGGCTCTCTGGCTCAGCTTCTGCGCCAACGGCATCACCGGATCCGTTAGCAACTCTTCCGAAGAGTTGATAATTATCTGACCGGCGTGTCCGGCGATTGTTACCATCCACGGGGCGCCCTCTACAGCGACCTGCGCGCGGATCAGGTTTAGCACCGACTTCAGCAAATTGTTCAGGTGCTCGCTGGTCACCATGGTCACGTGATTGTCACCCGTTATGTTCACGTTGTCCGGACCTATAAGGCGGTGATGTAATAGTCAGTCATTAACGTTGTTATCATAAGCGCTAATTATCATCACAAACCTTGTGACCACCAAAAGGGCAAATAACTGGTCAGCATTGGCAGTATGACATCGATGGTGTGCGGTTCGCTCAGATAGCGTGTGCTCTGCTGAACGTATTTGTCGATGTGTGCCATCAGGTCGTCCAACGTGGGCATCGAGGCGTCCAACTCGGACAACACGGTCTGCGCCTCGAGTGAGTGCTCTTCGCTCTTGCCGTGAATGCAATACTTGTTATGCTTATTGAGATGCGGCTCCAGAAAGGCCACCGGGAAAGTGGACGCGAACGCACCCAAGCAGTTGCCCAGCGCCGCCCTATGCCGGTCCAACTCCGACTTAATGAACCGGCGGCTGAGTGTCAGGTCGGCGTGTTTGGTGCCCAACGTGTACAGCGAGTTCAGTATCTTATAACAGGCCACCTGTATATCGTCCAGCAATAGGTCTGAGCCGAAGTCGTTGCCGGCCAAGTGGTCAAACAGCGACGTGAGCACCGGTAGTACCACCAGTTGGACGTAGTTCAGCGACGACGAGGTCTTCATTGTGGTGCCCCTGATGTGCGAGAAGCGGGCGTTTTGCAGATTGAATACACATGTGCTCAGGTCGTCGGCCGTGTGGTTGAAGAATGTCAACATCGATGTCTTCACGAAGTCTGGCGAGTACTTCACGATTGTCTTGGCGTCGGTCGCCTGGATTAGCACCTGTAGGCGATGGATAGGGTGGAGCGTATGGTAAGTGTGTGTGTATTATAGTGTTGTTTTTTTGTGGCCATACCTGCAGACACCGCACAGATATCTTGGCGTCAAAGCCGATGACCGACAGTTTTGACCGCAAAAAGGCGGCCAATTTACAGAACAAGTTGGCCACGAGTTCCCGTTCCCGCACAGTGGCTATACCGGCGTTCACCGCCACTTGACCTACACATCGGGTGCCGACAAAAAACAAACACAATATAAAAGTTAACTATAACTATAGACACAATTGTGTCGACCCGTGCAGTACGTACCGGTAGTGGCGGCCACGGAGGTCAAGAAGAACGAGCGCTGAGCCGAGAAGTACTTCTCCATCAACGGGAGGACAACTTTGCTGAAGAACGTCACGTCACGCGAGGTCTGTTTGAACGACGAGCGACGCGTGTGATTGGCCGACGGTTTCAACAGTTTGAGCGACATTGTGGTGATGTCCAGATACTGGAGCAGCTTCTCGAGCAAACTGGACGCGAACCGGCACTCAGTCGACTGGCCGGCGAGTCCGGCGGCGCCGTCCGCGTTGATCACTGAACCCAATCTGTTTCTTTGGTCAGTAATGGTTTCGGTACTGGTTTAGTGATTATTGTTAAACTGGACGCGAACCGGCACTCAGTCGACTGGCCGGCGAGTCCGGCGGCGCCGTCCGCGTTGATCACTGAACCCAATCTGTTTCTTTGGTCAGTAATGGTTTCGGTACTGGTTTAGTGATTATTGTTTTGTTTTTTACATTTATGGGTTAGTGTTTACGATGGTGTCAGGCGGGGGGGAGGGGGCGAGTATGTTAAAGGAATGAACAACAAGGGGAGGGGGGAGGGGGCGGGGGTTTGAGAACATATAGAAAATACGGACACAAAAAGAAAGAGAGAGATATAGGAAAAAGAGAGACAAAACTAAATCAATACTTGCTTTGAAATGAAATCAAAAATTCATACCAAAAAACTACAATTCTTACTATAAGTGTTTAGAAATCTATAATCACAACAACATTACACACAATAACTAAATTATAAATACAGTCAAACTCCGATATAACAACAAACACACGCCGCGACTATAGGCGACTAATAAATACCGGAACACTTTGAAGCCCTCGAATTGGAAAAATTTAAGCAACTCTTGTGATCGCTCCCTATTCTTCTTCTTCTCCCGATCGGTGAGCAAATCGTACGGAACCTACAGTACAGTACAATATATCACTCATTATCACCACTATTAACCACTGATGGTCTAAACAGCAACTACACAGACACTTGACACTTACCATTTGGGGATGAATACAGCCGCCCAGCGCTTGTGCCTCTGTCTTCACCTGTTTGGCCCACATGTCGTGCGCGTTCTCGGCTAACCTCTCGGCCATTGTCTGCATATCGCGGCTGAGCGTGAGGTTAGCCATGTCTACGGGTTGCGGGTTATAGTCGGCGATCGATATGTTTTGTGCGGTCATGTCTGTGCGCGACGTTTGCCGGGTTAGCGTTGACTGACCCGACTCTGACTGCTCTACCTATTCATCGCAAAAAAAAACATTTGGATAAAAATACACACAAACATAAAACATTACGGTATTAATCGGTACATACCTTATAATTCATGGCCAACAGCGCTTTAATGGCGTCCCTAATGGGCTCCTTATACCTCTCCTTTTCGCGATCGCTGAGCAGATGGTATGGTTTGAGTCGGGGGTGACTCTTGCGGTACTGCCAACTGTCGCCGTATTGCCAGCCGTTTTCAAACTTTCTGGAGGCCCAGGCATCGTGATAGTGCTCAGAGAATTTCTGCACCAAATTCATCATTTCGGCCGACAGTGTAACGGATCCAATGTTCACGGGCTCCGGTATGTACGGGCCGTCAGTGGCACCTATAGGTGAGGTGTAAACGGTGTATGAGATTAGCGTATGTTAAGGCTGAGGGGGGGAGACACCGGTTATAACTCAGTGAATGCAATATGATTACCGTTTTTGTTGATAATATCGTCCAAATTACTGTTGGTTAGTGAGTAGTCGGGCGGCAGCGCGGCTGCGATGGCTGTCAGACAGGGCAGCGACTGTGTGAACAGGTCCGGGTCGTACGCCATTTTGGCCAGTGAGTCGAATATATTGCTGAATAGCACCATGGTCAGCCGGCGTTCCTCTTCGGAGGCCGTACCGTACGAGCCCTGACCGCCGCTCGAGTAGTATTTAGCGCAACGCTCGTAGTGTAGGGTCAGTAGTCGGAGGGCGACAGTGGTGTAGTCGGTCAGCACAGACACGTCGTTACACAGTTTGCGTAGCAATCGTAACAGCATTGAAGGCTGCATTTCCCGCGTCAGTGAGACCTACCGGTGCGGAGAGAGAGAGAGAGAGAGAGAGAGAGAGAGAATAATTAACCACTTAATACATTGAATTAATTATGACAATCGGTTACTCGCAGTGCAAATGGGTCCGGACGAAGAACAGGTGATGCGCTACTCGCTTCCCAAATGGTAAGTGTCAAGTGTCTGTGTAGTTGCTGTTTAGACCATCAGTGGTTAATAGTGGTGATAATGAGTGATATATTGTACTGTACTGTAGGTTCCGTACGATTTGCTCACCGATCGGGAGAGAGAGAGAGAGCCAGTGGTTAATAAACTATTCGGTACAGTAGTCACAATTGCTGTACAGTATAACTACTCGTAAACTTGATTACAGTGTTTATACCGTACGGCATATCACTTACGAGAAAGTCGGACACACACTCGCGCTGGCCTTTGGTCAGTGTCTTGACTTTGGCCAACCGGTACACCGTATGCAGTGTGGCGTCCAATAGGTTGGCCCAGTTGTCGGCGTTCTGGTCATATCACTTACGAGAAAGTCGGACACACACTCGCGCTGGCCTTTGGTCAGTGTCTTGACTTTGGCCAACCGGTTGTGGCATACGTCACACCGCAGGTTATCCAACCGGGTCAACAGCCGCAAGACCTTCATCATCATCACAAACTACTCATTGCCCTCGTGTCGCAACGGCTCCATAGACAACTCGCGGTCGCTGTAGAGTGACTCGCCGCCGTCCGCCGTCTCCAACATTGTGGCCGCTCTCAAGTCGGGCAGAAAGCCCTCCTCCAGGAGGCGGAAGAATGTCTCCGGAGTGTCGATACCGTACACCCGTTCCAGGAATAGTACCACCGATTGTTTATGATTGGGCATTAGACTCGTTGGCATATCCGACTTCCCTGTGCAGACCCGCGCGGGGGTCACAAAACATATAACAAGATTAATAAGTGATATATTCCGTGTGTTTTACGGGTTTAATTACCGGATGAACCACTGGACTGGAGTGAGAAGCGCAACGACAGCACACCCTCCAAGTCCTCCAACGGGACCAGCGATCGGAGTATAGCGCGGGCGCGCATACACTCGTTCTTGCCCTGGGCTATGGTGGCCGCTTCGGGCGCGCACCGGCCCAACAGGTCCACCAAAGCGCAGTAGAAGTTCAATATGGCTGCGCCCATATCGATCCAGTCCTCGTCGGGCTCTTCCGGGGCGTCAGGTCTGGCCATTCGGGCGTCGCGTTCGGCCTGTATTTTGGCCGACATTTGTATGGCCTCTTTGATGGCGGCCAACAGTCCGGGCCCTTCGCCCCTAAGGGCGGGCCCTAAGCACTCGGGCCGTCGGATCAGTAGCCGTATCACGAGATTGGAGTTCTCTTCGACGGACTCGCCGTTGAGGGTTTGCGTCTTCGCTTCCTTTAGGTCTATGGCAAGCGGAAGCTGGCCTAGGGTCGGGTGCAGCCCTATCGGGATATCGATCAGCTCCTGATTGGACTGCAGACCACAGCGCGACAAATAGACGGCAATCTTCTCGAGATAGTGCTCGCGTAGGGCCAGCGCCAGCTCCGGGTTCTCCATGAGTGAGCTGTAGGCCACATCGAGGGGTGCGGTGCCCCGGAGTGATGGGCGCGACAGCAGTATGTTTGAGTGTTCGAGCAAAAAGTTCAAGTGATCGAACATTGCCTTCTGGTTGACCCGTCCGGAGCGACAGAAGAAGCACAGGAACCGACAACAGGCCACTACCATCTCCGATGTGTCCGACAGACCCTTTTCGCTCGTCTCGGCCGCCGCCGACCCGCTGTTGGCCTTCTGTTTGCCCAATGTGTTCATCATTACGTCCATTATGTTCTCGTGGACGCGGAGTATGCGGATCAGGTCCGGGTGCTGGAAGAATACACGGTTGTTGACCATTGTCCACAGCGAGTAGCGCATCACCTGTTCTTCGTCCGGACCCATTTGCACTGCGAGTAACCGATTGTCATAATTAATTCAATGTATTAAGTGGTTAATTATTCTCTCTCTCTCTCTCTCTCTCTCTCTCTCTCTAGCGAGTAGCGCATCACCTGTTCTTCGTCCGGACCCATTTGCACTGCGAGTAACCGATTGTCATAATTAATTCAATGTATTAAGTGGTTAATTATTCTCTCTCTCTCTCTCTCTCTCTCTCTCTCTCTCTCTCACTCACTCACTCCCGCACTCATACGGATTGGTCACATACCGGGCAAAAGGGCCCGCACTTTATTGAGGTGCTCCACAAACTGTTCGACATCAGTCTTAGACACCATACTTATAACGTATGTCTTCTGGAGCGCGTCCATCAGCTTTCCCACAGCGTTATAACAGCGCAACAACAGGTGAAACATCTGTCGGATCAGTTCCCGATTCTCAATCTCCGACTCTTCGGCCCATTTAATAACAGTCGACACAATCTTTTTGGTCAATACGTCTTCGGGCGCCGGTTTCTCCTCTTCGGGCGGCGACTCTTCCTATGAAATCGCAAACACAAGACATGAAAAACATCACTCAATTTGATCCCACAGACACACAACACAGACCTTATGGCCGATAGACTTAACACTCTTAACGATCGACAGTATTTTATTGCCCCAACCCGTCCGCCGGGCGTCCGCTCCGTCCAAACCGATCCCGGAGTCAACACTAGCCGTGTCTTCACCGCTGCCGCCCTCTTCGGTGGTAACTTTGATGCGCGCCATCAGCTGGTCGTGCAGTGCGTTTAGTTTGGCTCTGATCTCTTCGCCGCACAAACTCTGATCGCCGGCCGACTCTTCCTCGTAGTCCTTGAAGTTGAGTATGGATTTCATCTGTTCCTGCGGTGAGCACCGAAACTCGCGGGTCTTCTTGGCGGCCACCGCCGCCGGCAGGTCCTCCTGTTTGATCTCGATATACCGGCGCAACTGATCCGCTTGCAATTCGCCGACGTAACCGCTGCTGAACGCTATGATCGACTCGACCCGATGCCGGAGTTGCAGGTCCAGCAAGTGGTGCAATATGTGACACATCTCCAGCTTTACGCCTATAGGGGTTAACACATATCAGGTATGAGTGGATCAATTGGCGACCAGTTTATCACGATTAAGAACAATTAGGGTCATTCACATCGTGGTTACACTCAATAGACAATTACCTTCATCGAGACTCATCTGCATCAGGCCTTTCATGCGGGGCTCGGCGTTGAAGTCGTAATCGGTGTCAAACGTTTCGGGATCAATGAGTATGAGTATCCACTCCAAGTCCTGATCGGTGATACACCCGATCAGCAGTAGTTTGTCGGCCAGTTTGATGAGCGGCACAAAGAGGTTCTCATTGGAGCCGCCAATGGGATCCCGATTCGGACGGTTACCCTTCTTCACGGCGTCGTCCAGCGCTTCCATCACAAACTGTTTCAACACGTCGACCGGGAAGTAGGGCGACGACTGGTCCTTCACCGACGACCACTCGCTGCCGGGCGGCGCGATCACCGGCTGGGGCTGCGATTGTCCCGGTTCGGCCATTCGCATCACCGGCCGTATGGACACGCACTCCAGCGACGAGATCGAGTGCACCATCGACTCCTGCAGATAGAGCTTCTTGAGCGACTCGCCCACCGGTACGATAAACTCGTTTTGGGTCAGATGGCGGGCGTTTGCGTGCACTTCCAGGTGTAGGGCTATCAATAGGTCCGCGAAGCCGGTCCGCAACGGCCCCGACATGTACTGACTCTCGATGGCGTACATGAGCTGCTTCTCGTCCACGTGACCGCAGATGATATGCGCCGCTCTGTTGTTGCCTATTAGTAGTGATAATTGGATTAAAATCTAGTCATGAATTTTAATACACTATTAGTTATTAAAAGTAATTTAATTAATGGCTTAACAAAACGATTAAAACATTTGTTAATAATAAACAAAATAATACAAATATTAATACAAATAATAATTAAAATTAAATATGAATATAATTTTAGTTTGTCATTAGTATTGAGTCAATACTGTATAATAATAATAAATAAACTTACCCTGAAAACAGAGGGCCCCGTACAGGGCTAGTGTGTGTGCGTGAAAAGCAAGCAGCCGTTCCGCTTCGATGAGCTCCAGTATATCGACGCAACGGTCCTCTTCGGGTATGTGTACCACGAGCTGAGACACCGGGTCTTCGCACAGCATAGACCAGCCCCTAATGTCCGAGAGTTTCAGCGCGTGGGGTTTGAGCGACTGGTTCGGCACACGTGACCACTGATACGCCTGCAGTGATTGGACTTTGAGTCGCGGCGGGCACTGAGGGATCAGGTGTTTGTCCGATGTTTTCAAAATGGCGGCCGACAGGGGCAGAGTGGTGGGCGTGCGGCCCAACTCGAACTGCAGACACTCTTTGCTGGTGGCCTCGAATATGATGGCCGGGAAGAGTTTGATGCCCGGCTCTATGCGGTACTTGTGTTTCGTGGGTTTACCGTCGGCGGTGAAGGTCAACATACCGGTCGACGTGTCCACGTGACAGCCCACGAACATACCTGTGCCGTCGTAATGGGAGTGCAACACATTATTGGTAAAAAATATGCTAAAAATCTCATACATTCTAATTGATTGTGTATTTGAGAAAAAACTAATTAGTTTTGTATGAAAATTAAAACTAATATTTTTGATTTTGAGAGAGAGAGACAGAGAGAGTGCTGCCAACGAAAACGCTCGCAAAATATGGTCACAATATAAGGGATACAATGATCTGGTAATGAATGACAGGACAGGGGAGTGATGGAGAGAGAGAGAGAGAGAGAGATTTGTTAAACTTTTCTCTCTTTTCATTCTTTCTTTGGTAATGAAATATCTCTTTAAATATATTCAGATTTGAAAAACATGTAAAAATTGTTTCAAGAATTTACGCTAAAGTGTATATTGAAGTGTATAGTGAGTGAGGGGTAGAGAGTATGTGAGGCAATGTATGCGCGGGTATGCGAGTGAGTGAGTGAATTGTGAGGGTATGTGTGTTTGGGGGGTAGAGTATGGGTGCTGTCATATGGAGGGACACAATGAGCATTGCCTACGGATTCCTGGAGTACGCCATCAAAACTAAGCGCAAGAATGATATGACACGTGAAGTGAATCCACGAGTGATTTGAGCGGACAGACAGACACACGACGACATCGACTGCACTGACTGTCATACGAGCGCTGCCAACGAAAACGCTCGCAAAATATGGTCACAATATAAGGGATACAATGATCTGGTAATGAATGACAGGACAGGGGAGTGATGGAGAGAGAGAGAGAGAGAGAGAGAGACGAGCGCACCGGCAGATGACGGGAAACATAAGTCAATTGGCAGTTAGAGAGGGAGGGAGAGGGAGAGAGACCTCTCTTCCTCTTCACTGATCATTTAAATACACCCAAAAAGAGGACAAATTTAGCACAAAATTTAAATTTTAAACCTAGAATTTGTTACAAATGAATATCCAATATATCTTAGCTTTTTTGGTTATACTGTATATTCTGTGTATATATTTAGTGATTGACTTTTTAAACCACTCATCGATTGTTGCAATTATCAAAAGACAAGGAAATAAATAATGAGTGAATTATCGCACCATTTAATGAACGGCACAGACATGTCGTGCCATTTAGCATATGACCGAAATGTGTGCCAAAAAATATCGCTATTATTGTTTAACATATCAAATATAATTTAAACAAGGATTTACTTAACAATATAAAAGCAATTATAATTATTATAATCTAACCATTAAGTTGTGGTCAATAATAATACTAAATATATACTATAAATGTAATAAACATTAATTTAATTAAATCTCAGTTTAAATACTGTTGTTTATGATGTAAAAAATTGTAAACATAACTGATCTAGAACTCTCCTTCTAGTTTACACAGTCTAAAATTAATTATGTTTATTTTTATCCTGGTCGTACGTAATGCAAATAATGCAATAGTATTTTATTTCTAATATGTTTACAATTTTTAAAAGTTTGTAATAGATTTAAGTATAAATTGAATGCAAAAATCCTTTAATACATTTACGCTTTTAAAAGTACCCATATATAAGATGATCACTGGATTAAAAGGCTTTAAATACCATATAAATTATATATAAATAAATGTATTGTAAATAGCATTAAGACATTTGTAATAAATAAGGATTTTGTAGTAAAACAATGTTTAAAACCTTATAAAATAGTCTTCATGTAATCGTCCGGACATATTCGCAAACCTAAATCTTAAGCCTACTTTTAAACCTAAAAGTTTGTAAAAAGTAATATTTTCTAGTATTTAATAATACATACTATAGTTATAATAAGAAACTCAATTTATACTTAAGATCTTTAGTTAAAAATAATAAAATCAATTGCTTTTAAATACAACTATAATTTATTTACTGATTTTAGCAATATTTTTAAGAAATGGTTAAAAAAACTTCAAATAAGACTTACATTGTTTGCAATGACCACCAAAACGGACACGACTTCATACATGTAAGAAATATCAATTATTATAATAATTACAAACCTATGGGTTTGAGACCAAAACCACTGCCAAACTGAGCGTCTGATTAAAACGGATTCCCAAAAGACCTGAAATGATAACAACAAAAAATGTTAAGAAAATTATTTTAAAAATTAATTATCAATAAATTAATTAATTTTAAAAATTATATATCCAAACGTGAGTTTGAGATTATAGTCACAAGTAATCTAATCTATAATACAATCTGAATAAATATCAGAATTAATTGGATATAAAAAACAATAAAAAATATTTCAAAAATAATAACCAAATGATAACCAAATGATAAACTCAGAGATAATGGTAAACAAAATATGCGCTCATTTAGGGTATGAAAGAGCTGTTAAATTATTGAATATATAAACTATTTATTCAAATATGCGTTTATTTTTCCATTAGATATAACCATAAAATCATGAGTTTTATTGAGAGAGTCATTAAATTACCTAAATATCAATATTAATATTTATAATATCAACAAAACGGTAAAATCAAAACAATATTCAGTGTTTCAGAGACACAGAATATACGGCACAAACAGTTCGTATATTAAACGTGGTATTAATGGCATAGAAATGAATGCAATAATGATTTCAATAGTGAAATACATGGGAAATGAAAGTGCGTTTCATTGCAGTCGTCAGTCAGACGTACAAAACATATACAAAAACATTGGGAGAGAAAAAACAATAAAATTTAAAGTCATATAATATTAGTTCACTATATATTCTGCTCCACACATGAAATACTGAAATATAAACTATTTCTCAAAACAATTTTTTGTTGTTTTTTCGCTAAATATTTCAGAGAGAGAGAGAGAGAGATGCGATGAGAGTTGTTGTAAACGTAATACAAATATGAATTTAAAAAACATATCAAAATATGTCAAACATTTTTTAGGCAAAGAAAAAAAGTTTTACACATATTTATAAAAACATGAGTTCATTATACAGTTTACCGTGTATTATAAAAACATTTCACCGACTGATAGAGTAAAGGGAAGGTATGAGAGAGGGAGGGGAGAGATAGGGAGGGGAGAGAGAGAGTGAGAGGCGATATTTAAAATTCAATGTTTCAGACCTCGTGAAGAGAGAAAGTGTGAAATTAAAAAACATATCAATCATTCATTGAGAAAATATTTTTACATTTCAAACGATTCTGTAATAATGTTTTCGCTGTTTGTTAGCAATAAATATATTATTCACACAATCAATGAAATCATAATTTACTATTAAAATGTTTCTTTTATTTTTGTTTTGTAATGTTTTGCTCAAAAAATTACTATTAAATGAAATATAATATTTCACTTTCAATATAAGTATTATTGATTTAAATCAAAGGTAAAGGAGAAAATAATTTCCTCAATTGTAAGTCAAGTAAATTTTCTCAACTGAGACAAGACATACGGTTGGAAATGAGAGAAATACACAAAATATGATTATATTTGAAGAAAATGTTAGCTTTAAATAAAAACAATTTCCATACAAACAGACAATTCATATGAATATTAGAAGAAATATTATATTAGATGAGTGAGTGAGTGAGTGAGTGAGAGAGAGAGAGAGAGAGAGAGAGAGAGAGAGAGAGAGAGAGAGAGAGAGAGAGAGAGAGAGAGAGA